CATTTACGTTTTCGAAAATTTGAAAATGGCAAAAAGAGGGAAAATTCGAACGGTTGTTGGTTGAGATGGAGAGTTGGTGTCCGAGAGGATCGAAGTCACGATAGCTCAAGTGGTAGAGTAGCGGCGTATTTAGCCGAAGGTCGTAGGTTCGAATCCCGCTCCTGACACTCACTTTTTTATCTCAACCAAGGCCATAGAAAGAATAATTAATACATTTTTATAATAAAGTGTATCTTAATTTTACGGAAGTATGATGGATTCCATATTATTTTTGCAGTTTTATACATACAAAGTTAGTATTTTTCGTCTGCTCATAAGGGGCACTATGGCAATGAGGAGGCGGACAGTCTGGCCAAGGAAGGATCAAATACTGAGTTTGTCGGACCACAACCGGTATTACCCCACTCTTTAAGCAAAAGAGAGTATAGGTAGCTGGGGCATGAAACAATTCCTTAAGGAATGGAATATGTCCCCCGGATGCAGGCAATCGAAGGAGTTTCTGAAGGAAATCAAACCTAAAGAAACGAAATGGCTACTCTCTAACTCTAGGAGGGGAATAAGGAGGCTGATAGGTATCCTAACGGGCCATTGCCCCTTGAGAAGACAACTCTTCATAATGGGTACTCTACCAGACCCCTTCTGCCGCTTCTGCGAAACAAAAGAAGAAACGGCTCGACACTACCTCGCAGAATGCGATAGGTATGCTAGGGAAAGATTTAATACTTTCGAAGGAGAGGACATAACCAAAACACTCCCCAGGATAAAATGGTCCACAATCCTGGGGTTTGTGAATAGGTCCAAAAGGTTTATACAGGACTGTGAGCCGACCAGGTCCCGGACCTTTTAGGGATGGGGTATGGGCCTACTCAGGCTTTTAACCCCTCGGGTCCTGGTCGCCCGCCCTGTGTGATATATATATATAGTATTTTTCGCAGCAATTTTGATTTTAAAATCTATCATTTTAATATATTGTACCTTCCAGGTAATGTAGTTTTCGCTAACTTGAGGTTTCACTGACAGAGGACTTACATAAAAATCTGCACACACGACTCAAAAGAGATGAACTAACACTTTTTAATCTCGGCCAAACGATCCAAACTGACTCAAGAAAACAAATTACTGTATGTTACTATTTGAGACTCATATGAACGGCATAGAACTTCGGGGTTCAATTAAACGTTCCAACCTCCGAAGAACCCAATCCCGACAATCGAATATCCTGCGAACGAGCATCAACGCTCATTTCTATGTATCCTATGTTACCATTCACACTCACTTTAATATTCAATATGACCTTGAAGTAGCGAAAAACCGCTCCAAGAAGTTTCAGAAAAATTATCCAGCCACATAAAATCTCATGTAAGAAACCTTTAATCCCGCATCCTTCCAAGGATTCCTTCCCGATGGCTGAAGCGTCAATGGCCTCGCGACCTCCTAAGTGACAGTGAATAACAGTGAAAGTGATTAATGCTAAATATAGGAGTGACTACTCATAATTCATTATTTTTATTTATGTATATTTTGCATGTTTATTTTGTTTAATTTTGTCCTCTAATTTGTAATCAAATTGACTTTAACGCAGCAGTTGGCGCAGGTGTAAATAAACAAATTAAAAAATATATATTATAATTTCGACCTTAAATTATTATATTTTATTATCACATTAACACATTTTTGACATTAATTGGGTTTTGTTTGTAAATATTCGTGTATTAGGAACGTGTGGGAATTCGGTGGACGGTCGGATAAATTTAATTGTGGGACCGGAGCACAGATGTTTCTCATCTACCGGATGAAAATTCATTGAAATCCTTGACCCCGAGACGGAGCTGGCCACCTTTTTTGTTTGCACTTTAAAGGGTGGAAAGAAGGGGTGGTAACATTGATTTTACCCCCGTCTGTATTCGTGTGACAATTGTAAATTTGTGAGAAACCGGATCACCACTGCGGTACAGTGTGAGGCTTGGTCAAAAATATTCAGAAAAAAGCTCCCCCTACATAAAAAAATCATAGATATTTAACTTTCTGCTATTTAAAGCATAAAGGAGAAGAGCTTTTCTTTATTTAACTTTAGAATTTAAACTTAATAAACCAGCACATGGTCGAAAATATATAATCTAACGTTTACTCTTCCAAGTTCTTAGATGAATTATTGCAACATTAAACAAAGATTTTACGACATATATTTGCAATATCAACATATGTATGTAAATCCATGTATTATTTCGTACATCTAGATTGATTCAAAAACTTGGAATTAATTTATATTCACCATGTTTTCAACTTTCATTTTGGACATAATATCGCACCCAGATGATTGCAGGTTATATTTTATGTGTTTCTGTCTGTCTGTCTTCTGGGCCAAGGCTGATACTTGGGAACGTCTGAGATTTGTAAATTGATAAGAAAACCATTTAAAACTGAACCAGATCAGCTTTTTGCTCTATTCTCCTCGAAATATATATATATATATATATATATATATATTCTTTTATTTGAAAATCAACCATGTGTGATGTGAACTTGGCCAAAAATACCCATAATAAGTTCTCCGAGTCAAAAATTATCCAGAAATTATTTTAATAATTAATTACCTTATTTATACAGGGTGTCCTTTTTATATGGCCCGGCTGAATTTTTCTTGAACCAATGACTTAGTCTTGTCTAGTTTCAAATTTTACCTTTTTGGAGGAAAATTATACAGGGTACTTCAGGCCCAGTTCAAAATTACAAATACTACCCTACACATACTAATACATCATTTTAAAAGTTTTCCTTTACGCTGAAAAGAATCGGATTTTAAATTGGTGAAAAAAATTATTCCACTTAGTTGTAGGTATAGTTATTTTCTATGGGGCCATTTAAAAAACAGTGTCTACGCCAAATGACACCTCATTTGAAGAGCTGCGGCAAATGATAGAAAAATGCTTGTCAATCCATTTCATCGTGAAATTTGAAGTTGATCTAGGCCTGAGGTACCCTGAATAATTTTTCTCCAAAAAAAGGTGAACATTTGTAACTATACCTAAAATATTAAACATGTAGTTTTGATAGCGTCATTAGTTTAAGAGAAATATAGCCGGGCCAACTATAAAGGACACCCTGCATATGTATAATGAGGGAGGTTTATGGGCCGACAAAACAGTAGAGATCATCGCTGGCCCTCTGCCTTTTCCTTCTTTTTTGGTCTTTCACGAGAATTTTTCAACCTGCAGCCATTTGAACTTCTTAATCTGGTTACTGACCTTCTGCTTTTATACTTGCATTGTTGAAATTCTAAAATTCTAGCCTCGTGTTTGTACCTCAGGTTTTCAACTGCGGAAAAGTCGTAAATATATAATACATATTACATCACAAACTTAGAGGTCTGCTCAATTCACTCCCCCAAAGTAGTCGTTACACCAAGAGGTGGGGTTAAACTAACTCCACTCTCGCTAATAATTTAAGTTTTCTATCCAGACACACTCGTTCCAAAGTACTCGATATTCTTCCAATAACCCCTTCTTTTCACACTAATAAATTACATTCGTTCCAATAAATTAACATAAGGACATTACAGACTCAACACAAACATACACATACACTATACACATTTAAAAATACCTACAGCCCTGAAGGACTGAGGAACAGCGATCTGTGATCTACTAATAAACAAAAATTTCATAATAAAAAATGTCCTGAAATTTCTAAATTAAGCCAAATAAAAATTTTTGTACAAAAGATTGTTTTGTTTCTCTAGAAGTATTAAGAAATTTATTACCTTGGTATTTTCGGCTAATTTTTTGCCTGATAGATAAATAGATTTTGTATGTGACAGTAAGTATGCTAATAGTCATCCCTTAAAGTTAAATCCATTATATTTAGTGGTCTATTGACCAAATTACTTCTTTCAATTAATTAATCTTTTTAAGTAAGGTTTTGGTTGAAAAGAAAAAGCTAGTGCCTCGAGCGGGATTCGAACCCACGACCTTCGGCTAAATACGCCGCTGCTCTACCACTTGAGCTATCGTGTGACTTCGATCCAACGATCCGTGGGTTCGAATCCCGCTCGTGGCACTAGCTTTTTCATTTCAATCAAAACCTTACATACAAAGATTAATTAATTGAAAGAAGTAATTTGGCCAATAGACCACTAAATATAATGGATTTAATAAGTAAAACAAAGTATAACTTCACTAACAGCTCCCTGTGGCAACTTCATATGTCGCCGAGAATCGAATCTTGATTACACGACATAAAAATGGCAAAAAGGAGGGAAAATACGAAAGGTAGGTTGAGATGGGGAGTTGGTGTCCGACTGGATCACGATAGCTCAAGTGGTAGAGCGTGGTGCCGAACGTGGTGGGTTCGAATCCCGCTCGTGGCACTAGCTTTTTCATTTCAACCAAAACCTTGCCTAAAAAGATTAATTAATTGACTTAAAATTAAATTTGTTTTTGACTTAATCATAACATGCCCATTTTAGATCACTGTACTTCAATGATTATATTTGTGTTGAGCTGGGTTTCGTGATTGTGTTGTCTTTTGATAAATTCCCTTTTTAATTTTTCTTTGTGTGTTTGAAATATAGATCTTGTAAGAAAATATATTTCTCCTTTATTTATAAACCTAAGGGCTCTCTTACAAATAAATTTTTTAGTTTGGATGTTGGTTTTTATTGGTACGTACAGATATTTTCATGCTTTTGAACATGAACGATTGTATAAAAATATAGTTTAATAGTTGTTTATACAAAATATGGGAAAAATTCTTTTCTTTAAATAATAAAAAAATGGTTTCTAAACAGAAAACTCAAATAATTTCCCTTCTTCCTTGATGTTTGCATCCTGTTTCATTGTATTAGGAAAGACTTTACATTCTAACCCAATGCGCATGAATTTGTACAAATTCCCGGGTCGAGGCAAAGGCTCCTCCTTTTCTATCTTCAGATAAGGATTTATTGCCTCCCTCCTCGATAAAAAGAAGTGCGCCAGCTTTTCATGCTGTCCTTTCGGTTCCAGGTGGCGGGTGTGATATGGAGAAGGAGAATGCCTCGGCTCCTGCAGAGAGAGACAAAGACCGACCAGCACCCAACCTACTCGACGCAGCTTCGTTATTCGGTGGAGGTAAGTTAAATTAAGATGTGTATATTTCACCGTCTAGAAATGCTTAAAAATATACAGTATATTTTTTGGTGTAATCACCCAACAGAATAAATAAGCCAGATATATGAAGAAATACACTCAATATCCACGATAAATTAAACTGTACAACGTAGCTGAAGTCCAAATTGCACTCATATTATTGCAAAGCAGGGGGAGCCTGCAGGACTTAAAACTTTCCAACATACCACAAAACTGGATATTAAATTTTTTTGGATGCTGCAATATATGCATTATATTATTATTTCCTGCCTCCAATTCTTGGTCTTGAAAATCCATTTACTTATTTCCCGCATTTACTTTTATTTTTAAAACCTAAATACATATTGCGAAAACCATTTTGAAGGGGATTTCTCTCTCTCTCTCTCTCTCTCTCTCTCTCTCTCTCCTCTCTCTCTCTCTCTCTCTCTCTTCTCTCTCCTCTCCTCTCCTCTCTTTTCTCTCCTCTCCTCTCTCTCCTCTCTTTTCTCTCCTCTCTCTCCTCTCTCTCTCTCTCCTCTCTTCTCTCTCCTCTCCTCTCCTCTCTTTTCTCTCCTCTCCTCTCTCTCCTCTCTCTCTCTCTCTCTCTCTCTCTCTCTCTCTCTTCTCTCTTCTCTCTTCTCTCTTCTCTCTTCTCTGTCTCTATTTCTCTATCTTTGTATATCTATCTATCCATCTATCTATCTTTTTGCATGATTTACATATTCAAAAAGGCGTACTTGTTGCTCTCATTGAGCGTCCACTTTGAAAGAATGTAACCTTTTTCATCACAGTATTATTATTTTTTTTAATGATGAAAATTTGTTATTGGACTTTTCTCCTGAAGGATGCTACCCTAGGGTCTGTCTACACCTCAGGAGAGTTTTCTACCGTTAGCCGGTTGGGTCGCTCGTATACCCCTTAATCTTGATGCCCAGGAGGTCGTCGCCTCCCAACCAACGGTGTTAGGCTCCAACGGAGAATTTCGACTGTCATTTCAGCCCACAACTTATGCAAAATATATTCTAGCATAAAACTAACTACTTCTAAGTCGCACAAATAAATACATTCACATCTATACATTGCACGCAGTCTGTTTAGTCGGTGGAGTACCCCATACGACGTACACACAATATTAATAATCTAATCTAAATTATCGTCGACGGATTATTTTTATAAATATTCTGCCATCGACCTAAACACACATTTTGCGTTGGAGGGGGATTGTGACGCTATATTTCATCATCTGCCCTTCACCACTCACACTAATAAATACACACACTAAAAAACCATAACCGCATAACACAAACAACAAATTGCTATTACATTCGTGAATATAACCTCTTCATTAATATGTTCCCGAAACAGTGCCAACCATCGTAAATCAGCACATCAGAATCCTGGCATCCCGACGAATTCCTTCGAACCCTCCTCGCCAACTGAACAGACGATGGCGCGGGATCTCCTAAGAAGTGATGGTGGTGATAGTGAAAGTGATAATGACACAAATATTGTGTGACACAAGAGAAGATCACGTTTTTTATCATTGAAGTAATACCAATGCGTATTTTCTCCACTCTTGGTTTTAATTTTGTATATATTTCATTTTTCTACATGTACCTATTTGACGGTATTTGAAATGTAGGACAGTAGAATTAAAGATACTTTGTAGCATATTAAAATTTGTTACTGTTTTAATTGGACTATAAATCTTAACATCATCAAAGGGGGAGCAAGTAATTCGAATAAAAGTGGGGCCAAGTGTCAACCTTGAGGAATACCTGAAGTTACCATGGTTGTGAACGTGTGGAAATTCCACACTACTACTTGACTACGACCCGTGATAAGCTAAGTCTATTTATTAGCATGCTGTGATTAAATTTGCTGAATTAAAAATATAAATACTATATTAAGCTAAAGAAAACAGGGCCAAAAAGGCACTATTTCGTTTTTTAAATGAATAAAATTTATTGGCTATTAACTTTTTGGACGAGGGTATTTCAACTACGAGGTTATATGAGCCCTCGGAATGCCGGAACTTTTGAAAAAAGCCCATTTGTAAGTATGTCGGGTTCGAATGTAGAGCCGCTCGATTCGAACCTGGTTCCTTTACAGTACAGTGATGACCGCGTGTCAACGCCTAAACCGTTGCGGCCACCCACGCACCTTATTTACTTTTGCTTAAACTGACAAAAAATGCAGTTTTTGAGCATTTCATAGTACATAGTTTACAATTTATCACTGACTAAATCACGCTAATTTCAATGCGACGTAAATTGACTCCTTATCAACATTGCAATAATGAACATTTTTTCATTATTTTATTGGTAAACTATTTATCCTTTTCATATATAAACTAAATTCATGCCATTTTATAGGGAGATTATATTTGAGCAACTACGCAATAAAACCCTGGTTGTCGAAAGCTAGGAAAGTTGTCGCAGTTTTGTATTGTTTTTTCCCATGTAAATCCAATCTGACCAGAAACTTGATCTCTAAATTACATTCTACCCTTGGTCGATCAATGTTGCCTACATAAAACATAAGGACAGCCGCCCTATAGAGGCCCTAAAGGACCAAGAGTATGTCTGAAAAAAAAATTTTGTTTTGTTCTATTGCTTGTATCGATGGTTCTGTATTGTTTTTTCTAGAAATAAATATGGCATAAATAGAGCTTTAGTGAAGTATACTTCATTTTAAACTTACTAAATTCTTATAACTATTAGGAAACAATAAAGTTGAGTAAAGGCATTTGAAATCAAGTTATTTCCTTTGCTTTTTGATGTCTGCTTTCCAATTTAATTTTTAATCTATTCTCATACTTAAATGTTTTATTGATTTCTGAGAAGGAACTATTGTACTTTATATTGAAGACGATTGGTTTGTCCACTAATTTTCTAAATGTGAAATTTTGACCTTCCAAATATCTGTCCGTTCATGGAATCTGTTGGAATGCCATGTACAGTCGGTTTGTGTATACATGGGTACGTTTTTGGACGAGGACAGCAAAAACAGAACGGCGCCTAGGATGCTACCTTGTGGTATGCCAGCCTTGATTTCAAAACTCAAGAGTATTCGCCTTGTTGTTTAACTTGGTCATATAACAGTCTTTCGGAAAGGTATGAGGTCAAAATTGTTTGTTATACTGTTAATTTTAAATAATTTTTGTTAAAAAGCGGTCTCTTTTATGAATTATAATGTCAAGAAGGCACAACTTAATTTTGTTTAAATGAATTAATTATTTAGAAAAACTATTTTGTCTTGAACATCTCAGAAGAATAAAAATAAGACAGGTTCTTTTTATCAAGTCTAAATAATTGATTTTTCTGGTTAAATTTCTTATTTTTAGAGTTTTTAGAAATAAAGAAAATTTTGATATTTTGTTGAGCTCAATTCTCCTACTGTAGGAGTTATGTTGTAGATTACAGTCTATATATGGTAAAAGTAAGTATGTTTGCGCTGGTTCGGATGAAACTTTATGTTTGCCAGTCTCTCCATAGTTTGAGCATAATTGGCCCATAACTGGTTTCCTCCGCCCTTCATATTGGCTTTGAGAGTTTCGAACAGGAATGTCGGGACGTCTGAGATGGTCCGACAAGCGTATCGAAATCGTGTTGGCATCATTCCAGATGATCCGCCTGAATAAGGAGGACTTGGGATGAGGACGGACGGCGGACTCTCTCAATCGGATAAACATTCCGAGGGCTTCAAGCACAACTGCGCATAACATAAATTTATCGAGCTTTTCCCCCCGGCCGGCCTATATTTTCGGCTAGGTGCCGGCCCCGCTCTTCGGCCTCCATCGTTCATGGATTTCCTGGGACGTTCTCCAATCGATTAATTGCCAATTCAATGGCCATATCGATCGGAAACCACTTGAAACCATTTCCTGCACGTCTTCGTCGGACAAAAAGCTACGTTGACAGGTCGAACATAAATTTTATAATGACCAATCTTTCAATTCTAATAAAAGACATCAAAATATTAACAAATACTTGTATAAGATACTGAAATCCTCCATTTTACAAATAACTTATTCATAAAAAAATGATAACTAAATGGCTTTTTGTACTAATTATTTAAAGTGTCTACAGATGAAATGTTAAGTAAATGATTAAGATGATTACTCTAACATTCTCCAGAATAAAATACATCTGTTGATTAAGTGATAATAAAAACAAAGAATTTGCTGATTTTATTGACTATTTAAATCTAATTTTACGCTGAAATATTAAGGCGAATTATTTGTTTTATATTTTATACCCTCTTAAAACACGATGTGATAAAAAAAATCATCATGATAAAATGATAGTATAGTGATTTGTGTATTTATTTATTTAAAAAAAAAAATTTATGAGTACACAATGATGTAACTATTTGAAAATCATTAACCGACCTATCTGAGATATTTACTGATTAACCGAGTAATATTAAATAAGTTGTAGTTTAGTTTCGAACTTTCTCGTACACCTCTCGTTGCTGTTTTGCCTGCCAGAATGCGTTTCGGCACCTTCGGAGGTGGGTTTATGTAAGGATTACAATAAGGACTTAGTTTGGTAGTCTTGCCTCATTCTGCCTAGCCTGACCTGGCTACCTGACTAGCCACTGATGCTTTTTCGACTTGGTCTGCCTTGGTTTACTAGTTTGGAATGGCAGATGGGTTTCGTGATCTTTTGGTAGTTTATGTAAGGACTAAAATGAGGATGTAGTTGGGCAAGCTTGCCTCAACCTGCTTATAGATCTGACCCAGGAATCATGGATTTTCGACTATTTGGTCTGTCATGGTCCGTTAGTTTGGAATGGCAGATCAGTTTCGTCATTTCGCCATCTTCTGTGGTTTCGGGCAAAGATTAAAATGAGGACGTAGTTGGGTAAGCTTACCTCAACCTGGTTATATATCTACCCCGGGAATCATGGCTTTTGGACTGTTGGATGGCCATCCGTAGTAAGGATTGGTTCGCAAGTTTCATGTGTCATATGAGTTTTGGCTTTTAGCCATCTTCTGT